CCCCAAAACCCCAAAACCCCAAAACCCCAAAACCCCAAAAGTCTCCAAGTTTGTTGAACTAACTTGATCTGATGAAGTCTCCAATTTTATTCTTGTCTGGGCAGGTCTTTTCCGAATATCCAGCTGCTGGCGATCATGAACATTTGGGACTTGCCCCATTGGGCAACCATGTGGCCGACTCCGTGCACAGTGATCAGGTCGAGGCCGCCTTCTCTGGACTGGGTGAATCCTCCAAGGAGGTGAGGCTCTAAGAACCATGGTTGTCTCTCTTTGGTGATTGGCCATCCGAGGTGCTCCATCCATCTTTGGGTTCCAATAGTTGGAATTCTTCCATCGGTGGTTCCGCTGTAATGCATCATTCTGTACTTTCCTTTGAATTTAGGGTAGATCCACTCAGAAGCTTTTATTCCCCAACTATAATCCACTGGAGAGCAGAGTTCCCAAGTGTAGCTAGCAGGGATGTGCAGAATCGATTTCACATCGGCTCTGTTCAAATATCTTTTCTGAGGGATGATTTCATTCGAACTTTTGAAGCATTTACCATTATTAAACCCAGACAATAAATTGTATGGACAAGTAGGCTTCTCGTCAGATAATAATAGCTTCAAAGTCTTTCCTTCATCAGGATATTCGTAATATTCATCAACAGGTCTGTAAACATCGTAAAGATTAGCAATCTTAACTTTTTCGTAGAATTCTTGGTAAAGTCCATCACATTCTTGCTCTCTTCCAGGATTTTCTCGGCCGAATTCAGCGAAGTCGCATCCTGAGTTTTGAAGTTTCTCATGGAATTCGTTGGTAATGATTCCGTTAGTGAAAGCAACCTCCATGTAAGCTGTAAAGCCGTCAAATTTCCAATTAGTGACACCGTTACCGATCAAGAATCCTTTTAGATTGATCTTCTCCTCAGCTTCTTGGTTGTATTCATCTATTCTGAGGGCCAGATATGGAACGTAGATTCCTCCGTAGGAAACACCCGAAAGGTAGAACTCGTTACTCTTGAATTCTGGATACATTCTAAAGAACTCCAGAGTAGCTTTCATGTTGTCATGAGATACGATTTCGTCATTGTAAGGAAGAAGTTCGGGATGATTGTTGTACCCTGTGCCAACAGGAGACTCAATGTATACAACATTCGCGAACTTGTTCCATGAGTATGGGTTGTCTTGTGGCATGAAGTCAGCATCGTCAATGAATGCACAAGGCCCATGTTCAGCAATGTATCCGTTCATACTTGAGCAGCCAGGACCGCCTTCGAACCAGAACACAACAGGGTCAGTGGCTGGGTCTCTGGCACTTTCGACGAATATATAGTGGAATTTCTTAACTTCATCGATGTTGAAGTATCCACTATACTGCTTGAAGTTACCTTGAGAGCACCCAGGGAGTGTCTCAGTCACCAGGTCTGTCTCTCTTGTAGCCATCGACAAGACTACGATAAAGAGAATCAATATGATGTGCTTCATGTGCAAATTATAATTCTTATTTTTAATAGATTTCCTTTCCAAAACTGCGTATTTCAATGCAAAATCTGAAATATGGGGTTTTGGGGTTTTGGGGTTTTGGGGTTTTGGGG